TTAATCTCATTTTTTATTTCTTCTCTTGAGTTCTTTATATTCCAAGTCTCTCCCCATTAGTTAGCTGGCCGTTTAAATATTAGACTTCAATGGTTATTGATTTGGGGACAGGTAACCAGTTTGTGAGAGCTTTGACTGTTAGTAAACACATACATGGAACTTGGGATTTCAGTGCTGAATTACTCACAATCAGGGGTGGCACAGAGCCCCAATGACACAATAGGACTCAAAGCATACTTGTTGAATTAGACCTATTCTTAGAAATGTATAGTGTTTAAAACATAACTTTATAAAGTTATACTTGTAAAATATCCAGGATGACAGTAAGTTTCCACAACCAATACTGATGCTCTTCAAACTTATAAAAATTGCCTGTGCTGTTTTTAGTCTCCAAATTGTTCCACTGCCCACCATCTTTTCCAGGCTTTCCATGTATACAATCAGAGCAAAGTCATAAGTTTATAAAGATATAATATAACAATCATAGTAAAAGACAAAAAAATTCAAGGCATTTTTGTGAAAGTTATTTAAAAATATGTTGATATACTTCTAGACCAGAATTTATTGTGTTAGGTCAGTAAGATAAACCTACTCTAAAATTATCTCCAATATTTTGTTTTACAATACAATATATTTGTATTACAATATACAATACAATATTTGTTCTCCATTGCTCAGCTGTAGAACTTGGACTTTTTTGTTATGCCTATAGATTGAGGCAAGTGCTTGAAATGAATTCCAAATTTTCAATTTGTTTTTCTCATCTAACAGATGATCTGTTCTATAGAAATATTTCACAATACTGTGAGTAAGCAGTGCATTATAACTAGAGAAGAGATTTTAGAAATAAGCTATAATAAAGGAAGATAGACTGTGTGTTTTTGAAATAAGTGATTAGAATTGTGAAGGAAAACCAATTTGTTTAGAAATTATATACATAATCTTATACATTATGGTTGTCTGCTTTATGTTTATATTAACCATGATTATGATGAATAAAGAAGTTACAGCAAAAAAGGAAACTCAGATGAAAGGGGTAGTGACATATGTTTTAAATTTTCTTGTTAAACTGGAGACATTTGGAATTATTCTGAGTTAATACACTATCTCAGGGGAAATTCTAACATTTTATATATGTACCAATAATTATAAAGTCTTTTGAACGGTTTATCCAGCTTCTTCAAATCATCTAAAACCTATTTCAGCAATGATTTTTGTGTTGACTTATAATTCTAACTCTTTCATACATATAAATATGTGGTTATATTTACCTTTTACCACCTACCTTAACCCAGATATAGCATACAACAAAAGGAAGTCATTCTTGTTAACTTAAATCGATCATACAAATGCACAATAGAAAAAGAAATAAAAACTGAATACACATTTTTGAAATTATGAGTATAAGTTAGACTCTAAGAGCTGAGACTGTAAAGTCAGACTCCCAAGGATGGGAGCCCAGCTCTAATATTTAAGAGCTGTGGTATCTAGAAAAGTTGCTAAACTTCTCTAAGTCTTGTATATGTTGCTTGTGAAACTCATTGCATTTGTTCTGAGCACTAAATGAGATAATCTGTATACAGCACTTAGCAAAAAGCCTGGTTCAGCCTAATAACTCAGGCAGGTCGATCTAAATGGTATTGGCCAGCCAACCAAATAAACTGTAAATATTTTGAAAAATAGTAATTGGTCTAATATCTCAATGATTTTTTAGATATGTATTTAAAATATTTTATTTTTCATTTGTAGATACTTTTATTCTAAATTGAGGCAGTTGATAAATGAGGAATTTGTATAGAACTCTTCAATAGGATAAACTTAAATGATAGCACCAGAGTCTGAAGTAAGACACTTCAAAGAAATGAATTGTTTAAAGTTTTAGACTATCAGAACCTGTGATTATAATTTTCAGTTGAAAAACCATTACTTAATATATTTATGAACCATTATAAGATATAAATAATTGGAAATAAATATAATTAAAAACTATAATCTGCTTCCATAAGAAAGATTCTCAAACTTTTAACATAAAAATATACTGTATTAACATTTCACATCATTCCTAGTTTTAGGAACCAAAAGTACTACTCATGGAGGAAAAATTATGTGTGTGGATTATTCTCTTTCGGTTTTAGTTTTGAGTGATATTTGGAAGAGTAGTCTCCATAAAAAGAGAATTGGGGAAATGCCATGAATTCAATATGGATACTTCAAAGATTTTATGCTGACTTGAAATTTATTTATCCTTCAAATTCCAAGAGGTACTTCTGTCCAGTAACACTTTCACTGATTAAGGTCTAATGCAATATTTTCCCAGAAAGGATGAAATTTTTTAATGTCCTATAGATTCCCTTTGGCCTGTGCAGTTTGTTTAGTCACAGCTATGAATTCTATGCTTTCATGATTCTAAACACTAATTCTCTAAAATCATTTAGCTATTTTTTAACTATGATAGCAGCACATTGCTTCCAATAAGCTAACTTGATATTGATCAAATGGTTTGGACTTCACTGTTCTTTATTTTTAAAATAGATTTTTAAATGATAAAGCACTTTGACAAGTGTATACAAAGGAAAGTAAGTCACCTTTTCCCTCCAGATTTCCAGCTGCTTTCCTCCAGAGGTAACCATTATTAGCATCTATGTATATTACCAAAAAATTATACTTACCTAAGCCTATAAATATTATCTGTTTCATATAAGTGAAACAATGAGTTTATATGTTTTTAACACAGTCTCTTGCATATATTAAGCAATTAATAAACTACTATTGAGTTGATTTTTTTATGATCTTGCTTGATTTTTCCCAAGAAAGACATTGAATATATATTATTAACTTACTCTTTGAGTTAACATAAGTGGTATGCCATTTGAGCTATTAGAGTGAGTAAATATGCTTTACTAAAGCTAAGAAAATAGTAAATTATTTCACTACCTTGATTTATTTCAAAAATTTCTTAGGTAACGAATTGCTTGGCTATTTTTCTTAAAGCAATCTCAGTTATGTGTGCTCCTGCACTTGCAGGAATGCACTGCTGGCACATCTTTAATGCAAACATTATCCATTACAGAGCAGAGATTAAATGGAAGAATGTGTAATTGGTTTTCCAGCAGACCAAGATCATTAATGTGAAACACACTCGCATAAGCACTGTTGGAAAGGTTTTGTGCTACTGCATATTGATCAAAGGCAAAAAAGATAACTGGAAATGGTAGAATGAGTATGAAGGAAAGTGGAAAATAGCTGAAGTTGTTCGAGCATGCTAAACAATTAACTTTAGAAATTAAAAAGAAAGATGGCTTCACTATCAGCCATAAAATTGACTAACTTACCTTTGTGCTCTTTGGTTAAACAAGAAAGAGAAAAGATTTATTTTTATTGTGTAGATATTTTAAATCTCAGTGTAAAATAAATATGTGGCTAAAATCTATATAAACACAATGCTGCTTTTAATTTTATTTCCTAGAGACTATTGCCCATGAGAATGAAATCAATGACAATTAATTTCTATTAAATTCAAATAGTTGAGTGAAAAATCGTTTCAATGGTATATTTGGAGTTTATAATTTGACTATCATGTACTAATATAGAGTTATTGTTTTTAAAATAAATTGACATCATTAAATACATTAAATGGAATTAATGAAAGTGATAGCTATATATAAAAAAGTAGATTTCATAATTTTTTTGTGTTGTTTTACCAAGAGCTAAAGTATAATTAATATGATGATAACAATATAGATGCGGAGGGTGTTAGATAACATTCACATTTTGCACTTCAGATTTAGGGAAATTGGTATGCAGAAAGACTAAAAGAAAGTTGCTGGAAAAGCAAAACTTCTCATTATAGTAAGTTTAGACATATACATTTCCATTGTAAGATCTGAGACCATGAAAATTCTAGAAGAAAACGTAGGTGGCATGCTCTTTGACATCCATCTTAGCAGCATTTTTTCAAGTACTATGTCTGACCAGGCAAGGGAAACAAAAGAAAAAATAAACAAATGGGACTACATCAAACTAAAAAGCTTCTGCACAGCAAAGGAAACCATCAACAAAACGAGAAGACAACATAACAATTGGGAGAAGATATTTGCAAACCATATATTGGATAAGGGGTTAATATCCAAAATATACAAAGAACTCATATGTCTCAACAACAAAAAAATCAACAACCCAATTAAAAAATGGGCAAAAGATCTGAACAGAGATTTCTCCAAATAAGATATACAGATGGCCAACAGGTACTTGAAAACATGTTCAACATCATTAACTATCAGGGAAATGCAAATCAAAACTACAAATGAGATATCACCTCACTCTGGTCAGAATGGCTATAAGTAACAAGACAGGTGTTGGAGAGGATGTGGGGAGAAGGGAACCATTGTACATTGCTGGTGGGAGTGTAAACTGGTGCAGCCACTATGGAAAACAGTATGGAGTTTCCTCAGAAAATTAAGAATAGAACTACCATATGATCCAGCTATTCCACTGCTGGGTATTTATCCAAAGAACTTGAAAACAAATGCATAAAGATACATGCACCTTTATGTTCATTGCAGCCTTATTTACAATACCCAAGACTTGGAAGCAACCTAGGTTCCCATCAAGCAACGAATGGATAAAGAAGATGTGGTATAGATACACAGTGGAATACCACTCAGCCATAAGAGAGGATGAAGTCCAGCCATTTGTGACAACATGGATAGACCTTGAGGGAATTATGATAAGTGAAATAAGTCAGCGGGGAAAGTCAAATACCATATGATCTCACTCATACATAGAAGATAAAAACAACTACAAACACATAGCAACAGATTGGATTGACGGTGACCAGAGGGGAAGGAGGGAGGAGGGTGGGGGAAAGGGGTCACTAGACACACATATGTGGTGATGGTTTATAGTTAGTCTTTGGGTGGTGAACATGATGTAATTTACACTGAATTTGAAATATATTATGATGTACATCTGAAAGTTATATAATGTTATAATGCAATGTTACTACTATAAAAACAAAAAATAAAATAAAAAATATACATTTCCAAAAAGGAAAAATAATTATTTCTCATTTTTCTAGGAAAAGCAATTTTATTATGGAATAGCATGGTCAATTTAGTATGGGACTGCAACCAATTAAGGAAAGAAGGTTTTTGCTGGTAATGATGATAATTTTATACTTTAATTCTATAAAACTTTCCTGTTTGTATATCTCTTTCACGTATAGTTTCTTATTTCATCTCCATAAAACCTGGTGTCCTAAAATATGAATGGGATAACATTGAAAAGGAACTGGGACACAATCTAGAAATAACTTCACTCAATTTTCTAAACTCTCAAAAGAGAGAATATTTTATTTATTCCTTAATGTAGTTAACTTAAAATGTTCTATACTTACCTACAAACTGAATTGTTTGCAAAAAAAATATTTAAAATCAAAATTAAATTTATGTGACACTGAGGTATTAAATATGTGTGCAAATTCTTTGACCCTCCACCCATACAAGAGTAGAGTCTTATTCCTCTTCCCTGACTTACTAACTCACTACTAATGAATGGAATACTGGTAAACAATACAGCTTCTAGAAATCATAAGGCTTTTGTCTTATAGCAGTCGCATAGTGAACTCAAGAGATTAGTGTGTATGGCTTTTGTCTAATGGAACAGATTAAATCGATTCATAAGAAATCCATAATTTTGTTTAAAGAATATATACCAGCTTGTCCTGAGAGGGGCAGAATGAGTACACAATGAAAAGAGGCAATTAGATCCCAAACTTCCATGGTCAGGGACAAGCTGGAAAATCTACAGTACTGAAAATGAGGCCTGTGTTTTATGGAAAACGAAGAATGACTCAGAAGGGAGAACCAAGACCCCACATGAGAGAGACAAGAGCTATGGCAAACAACTTCTAGAAAGCAGTTGTAAGCCGCAATCAAGGAACTGGCAACATGTGTCTGACTAGATTTCAGAATCAGTGTGGACTAGTGATTACTGTGTGCCTTCCATTTTTTCCCCCATTTTGAACCATTGTATTTTTGTTGTTTGGGAGGAAGTTTTCTCTTTAGTTCATAGGTTTTGAGATAAAGAAGAACCATACTCTAGCAGCAGTACTTAAGAAAACATACTTGAGGTACACATTTGCTTAATTTAGATGATGAGATCCAGGAACATGAGCCCAAGTCTGATACTGAATAGGGGAGAGTCTAAACCCAAGACTTTTGAGAGTCTTGGAAGGAATGCACTTTGCATATGGAAGAAATATAAATAACTTGTGGCCAGAGGGGAGACTTTAATGGCTTTAAATATCACCACAAATACTTTGACATTCCTCCTGTTAAAGGGTGATGTCTCATTGTCATTCTCTTGAATCCAGGCAAATCTTATTAACTCAGATTGAATGAATAGATTACTGCAGAAATGATGCTGCATCACTTGAAAGACTTAAGTCCTAAAAGACGATTCTTCTTAGCTCTCTTTCTCTGTTGGGATACTAATTCTTGGAACTCAGCCATCGTGTTATAAATAAACCAAGCAGATACATGAAAAGGTCTTATATAGGTGCTCTACTCATAGGCCCAGTGAAGTCGTCAGCTAACAGACAGGATCAACTACTAGGCATGTGAATGACTGAATCTTTAGTGACTTCTATCTTCAGGATTTGGTCCACCCCAGCTAATACTATATGGACCATAGAAAAGTTATTCTTACCAGTCCTGCCCAAATTGCAAATTTGTAAACAAATATATTTTATTGTTGTTTTAAGCTGCTCAGTTGTGGGATGATTTACAATGCTGCAATAGATAACTGGAATGTATGATTTCTTTTAAAACTGTTAAACGAGGACAGAATGAGATCATATGGTTATTCAATAAATATTTATTGAGCAGCTACCATGGAAGTAGTCTCAAAATCAAGCCTGAAAAGAATTTGCAGTCCAGGTGTCTTAAATCCTGACTTTAGCAATCTTTAAAATGTTTTATATTGTCTCATTTCAGGTTTCCTGGCACTGCTATAGTAAAATTTCCTCAAAATAAATGTCAAATTATTTTTTCTTTATGCAAAATTTCTAAGAAACTGACGTCATTCCAATAAAATATAGTTTACTATAAAATATTACTTGGAAGGCCATACCTGGAGAGCAGCTCTGAAATGCATTCATGTGCATTGATTATGGAGTTCAGTGATTATATATGTGCATTTGTCCTCCAGAAAACTCTCCAATTGTTGTTGTAAAGCACTTGTAACTCAGTAAGAATGGAGATATTTCACAAAATCTGCAAGAGGAAAAGCTAAGTAACTCTGGCTTCAAAGTTGCTTTCAATTGCTCACAATCAGAGAGAGTTAATATGCAATGTAAATTCAGAGACCAAGAACGCAGCTTGGGAAGCAGCTGTGCATAGTAAGACTCCCTACTACTCCATCCCAATGCTTGGTTTCACATTGAGTCCTAAGGAAAAATATTTCAAACATCATTGGAGATAATCCTAATCACGGATCCTTGTGGCTGCTAAGTGACAGGAATCTCCAATAATCACCCTCCCCTCCAAGACTAAATGCAGCTGATAAGAAACAGAAAAGTAAGAGTTTCAGAAATTTCAGGAAAGCTTCACTGGACAAGATCTCTAGCCTTGACTCATTGCCCATGGTGTCTGCTGTGGAACTATAAAAACCACCACAGGAGGTTTGATAGGAACCCTGTCTCAAAGGACCTTACTTTCACAGGATCAATATAGACCATGCACATTTGTTGTCCTTGTCCATAATACCCATCATTCTTTTCCTCTCTGAGGACCAGTTCTCCTGTAAATTACTCTCTTCTTTTGTAAAGTCCTACGCTTATGTATAGTTGAGTGTATCAGTGTACACTGGGCAACCATCTTTCTTACTACAATGCATAATTTCCTTTGAATCTTGGTCCAGTAGGTGGAGCATAAATACTATTCTCACCATAGCCTCTGCCATGTGGATTTGTCTATTTCTCCATTCAGATTTATTGTTTTTTCTGATGTATTGTGACACTCTGTTATTAGCTAAATACATTTTTAGGAATGTTATGTCTTCTTTGATAATTTGTCTCTTTGTTATTATACAGTATCTGCCCATATTTATCTCTGATTATCTTCCTTGTTCAGAAGTCTAATTTGTCTGAAATAAATATAGCTACTCTAGCTTTTGTTTGGTTAGTGTTTGAATATTATCTTTATCTGATTGCTTTTAATTTATGAAAGTCTTTGTATTTAAAATGAAGTTTCATCTGACCATCATCGAGTTAGTTATTGCTTTTTTAAAATTCAATCTGACAATCTCTGTCTTTTCACTAACGTGTTTAGACAATTAACATTGAAATCTATTATTGATATAGTTGGATTATAGATCTCTCTTCTTGATGTTTTCTATTTGTTGCATTTATTCTTTTTTCTTTTTCTACCTTTTCTTGTTTTAATTGAGAATTTTTTATTGTTTCCTTTTGTTTCCTCATTTGACCTAATATTTATGACTTTTAACTTTCTTAGTAGTTGCCTTAGTTTAAATACACATTTTTAAATAATCTGAGCCCACCTTCAAATACCGTTCAACTTCTTTATGTGTATTGTAAAGATACTATTGCCATTTATTTCCAATTCCTCCCTCCTATTCCTTGTACCATTGTTGTCATAGATTCCATCTTACATATAAACATCCAATACATTGTTATTACTATTGCTTTAAACAGTTTATCATTAAGGACAATTAACAATGAGAAATAAAACAGAATGTTTTGCTCTCATTTATTCCATTTCTGATTCTTATTATTTTCCAAGTTTCTGACCTATACTGTACTTCTTTCTACCGAAGAATTTCCTTTAACATTGCTTATAGATGTAAGTCTGTAAGCAATAAATCCCCTCAATTGTCATTTGCCTGAGTAACTCTTTATTTTTATTTCTTTTCACTTTTGAAGGATGTTTTTGCTGTATATAAAATTCTGAGTTAGGATTTTTTTTCCTCTTTTAGCAATTTAAAGACTTTATTGACTTATTGCTTACATAGTTTGCAATAAAAAGTCTGCTGTAATTCTTATTCTTCTGCCTTTGTAAGTACACCACCCCCACCATCTGCCAGCTGCCTTCAAGATTTTCTCTTTATCTTTTGGATTTCTGCATCTCAAGCGTGTTCTGTCCATGTATGGACTTTTGTTTGTTTTTTTCTTTGTTATTTATCTTGTTTGATGTTCTCTGAGCTTCTTGGATCTGTCTGCAGGGTATAGGCTTCATTATTCTTCTCCTTAAAAATTAAGCCCTTTATTTTATAAGGGAGATGGGGCAAAGGATGTCAGTAGATTCCCACAATGGCTGAGGGTTTCCTGCCTGAGCCAGCACTTAAGGGGTATTCTTGCTGATCATCTCCAGGAGACCTGAATGGATTTCCTGGAGGAAACATCTGAAAAAATATGGTGACTCAAATATGTGTGGTCTGTGGACTTCCCACTTTCATGCTAGCCCACACTCAACCTTCAGCAGTGCATTAAAGTTTACAATTTCATCTTCCTACTGGCTTCTGTAGTGTTCAGTGGCATCTTCCCCAAGAAAATTAATGCTTGTGGTCTGCTTTAACTCTCTGTCTCTGTCTCTGAATTTCAAGTTTGTTGTTTGCCTTATGACTTCAATTCTCTGATGGGCTCAAGAAACTCTGTTGAGTTGGAATATATCCAGCATTTTTCTTGTTGGGTGAGGGTTGGCATCCACACAGCTCTCTATATTTTTGACCTAAAATCAGAAGTTTAAAGCTAAATATGTTAATAAGTGCAGAGATCAAAGATAGTAATAAGAAAAATCCTAAGCTGCTTTGGAAAATAAAAATGTGAAAGAGAACAAGAGAGTAATTTAAAGTCCTCTAAATGTGCATTGTTGTGTTGTGGTTGGAGCTTGCCAACCTTGCAATCCTATGAATTGAGTATTGTCATGGCAGTTTATCATGTGTATGCTCAATGATAGAACAAAAGAGAAAAGAGGACAGTGTCCTCTGAAATGGAAGCTTGGGAAATGATGAAAAACTATGAAGAACACAATCATTAGGGTCAAGCTGAGAGCCAAGAACTATCTGAAGATGCTTTATAGAGGACAGTTAGACAATGTGAAAGGGTTTGAGAAGCTTATCTATCTAACAGAATCCTGAAGAGGAAAATTTCTTTCTTTTTTTTTTTTTTTTAAAGATTTTATTTTTTTTCCTTTTTCTCCCCAAAGCCCCCCGGTACATAGTTGCATATTCTTCGTTGTGGGTCCATCTAGTTGTGGCATGTGGGACGCTGCCTCAGCGTGGTTTGATGAGCAGTGCCATGTCCGCGCCCAGGATTCGAACTGACGAAACACTGGGCCGCCTGCAGTGGAGCGCGCGAACTTAACCACTCGGCCACGGGGCCAGCCCCGAGGAAAATTTCTTTTAATACAGAAGTTTAAACAGATTTTATACACTCCTCTCTCCTTACCATTTCATGAATTTGATTTTTTTGATTTGTAGAAGGCTTTAATCTGATCAGCAACATTTTGATTGTAGTTGGTGTGATACAGTACTTCTATTGATGGTACTTCCTACCAGACTTGCTAATGTGGTTAAATTTGAAATTGAAGAACTTCCAAAATCTTTGTTATGTGCAAACCCAGGCAATTGTGATATTGAATACCATCAAAATGATTGTCTGAAATATGTCTAGGTAGAAGTCTTCCAACTTTCTACAGTATTTTCATAGTGAGAACAAAGAGAAAAAAATCACATGGGTCAATTCCACCATGTCTTGGTCATAGTACTTCTTGGGCCAGCTGATTTACGGAAGAGTCATATTTATTCCTCTTTACAAATTTCCATTTTCTGAGGTATTAATTATTGACAAAGATAGGGGTTAAGGAATTAATGGGAATAAAACCTTAGTGACTTGAAATCATGTGTGCTCAGTCAAGGAGTGCATTAAACATTATATGTAAATTCTAGTTTTGATGATGAAGTCAACTAATGCTGCTATTGTTAGAAAACTAAAAACCCAATCTATTTATTTAATCTGCAGAGGATCTTACCTTTTTAGTCTGCCTTAGTGATACATTTAGGGTATTTATGGAAATAGTAGCATCAGTAGCTCTGTAGAAGAAAAAGATTTCAAAGAAAAAATTTTATGTGTCAAATAGCATTATGTAGAAAGAAAGAATTTTGTGTTCAAACAATTTCCAGAACTCTATAACCATGCTTTGAAAGTTTCTTTTCTTTTGCAATTATTAGGACTTTTAAAATGCAGGTGGGCATGGTCAAATTTTAAGTGTAAGAAACACTCAACAATAAATATAAAAAGCTGTGTTTCCTAGGCAAAATGCATTTTCTGTTATTATCTTTGATTATTGGCTATTCAAGGATACTTTGTACAAGTGGAAATTAACCCTTGGATCTGCTTTCAAAAAATATTCCTTCTGCTTTTTCTTTCTCATAATCAAGATTAATAATTACTTAAGGTAATGTATTATAAATAAAGAATAAAAGGGAAATTTCTAAACTTTTCTAAAATTTAATTTTTTTAAATTTCTAAATGAAAGGAAATCTTCTAAATAGAGGGAAAAAAGGGTGTGGACTTTAACTCTTTATAATACACTGGTGGTACATATGGAAACACTTGTTACTGAGAATTAAGAGATTTTCCTTCTTCAAATTTGAGGAAAATTTGAAGTTTTTATTATCTAAAGAAGGTCTTCTGATTTGAATCTGGAGATAATTGATTTTTTCCCTTAGATCTCAAATTGCGCTAGTATTAGCAAATATCTGATCATTTGTTGACACTCATTTTTTAGAAGATAAAATTCTTATAAAGTATGGTCTTTGACTCCTCTTTGTGTTGATAGTTACCAGCACTCCAGAATAGATTGTGGACTAGGGTTCTGGAAAGTGACAGACACAATGTGAAGTATCTCAGGAGAGTTCTCACTGTCTTAGAATGTCCTTTAAGCTGATGTGGATAAGGGCCACATGGCCTTACAAAAATTATCTTGGAGATGGAGTGAGATCTGGTTTGTTTCCTGAGACATGATCACTTTTGGATCTGTCCCCAGCAGTGACATAAGTAGGGAATATTAAATGGAGTGTTAGGCTTGTTACCCCAGAATAAGGAACTGTAGGATGGGGGTGGGAAAGGAAAATATTGATAAAGCCACTTTGATCAAACACTAAAAACTTAATTCAAAAAACTCAGAAAGAATTTGGAAATTTTAATTGTATACAATAATTTCTTTAACTTTTGTGTTTTTTATTGCTTTCCAGATTAATTAAAATTAACAGAAATTATTCAAATACTGTGTGGATGAATTATATAAACACCCCTACCCACCCACCTCCACAAGTGCCTGAAGTTACGCAACACTATCTGGTGATTTGAAGAGGTTTGTGTATACCAACAATAGCTGAGAATGAATAGTTTCTTTTCTGCTAACTTTCCTGCCACTATTCAAATCTTTTTCAGTTTATGCTTAGATTATTTACAATAGCTGTGACCTTCTTTTGCCTCTGTTTTTCATTTCACTCCTTCACCATTATATTCTATACTGCAGCCCCTGAATTATTTTCCTTGAGCATCACTTTTGTTATGTCATTTTTCTGTTCAAAAAAATCCATGATGAGAGAGTAACATCACCATCATGGCAGGGTGAGTTGTTCCACTTGTCTTTCTCCTCTAAGTTACAACAAATCAGACATCCATTGACCAACAGAGAATTCTCTACACAGCACAACAGGTTGCATAAGAGATCCATACATCACTGAGGATGGGTGGACTGGACCCCTGGAAGGCAGTGAAACTAGGGGAACAGCCCCCCTCCCCTCTTCAAGCAGTAGTGATTCAGGGCACAGATCTCACACAGCCACTCAGGTGGCTGTGAGCAGAGGCAGCAGGCTTCTCTGGAGACTGCTGACAGACTAGAAGAGGTGGGGAGCCCTGGCTCAAGTGACTTCAAGCAGACATAAAAGGAGCAGAAAAATCAGCCCCTACTCCTCCTGAGTGGTGGCAGGTGGAACTTGCTAATAGAGGCCTCAGTAACCACAGCAGAACTGATGACTCAGCCCCGAGTAGTGGCACCCTTGACACCAGCAGCAGGGTCTGTATATAAGTCCCCAGGTCCCCAGGACCCTAGCAGCTACAGCGACAACCATAGACCCATCACCCCTGACAGCAGGGCAACCAGCACTCCTGGACAACCCAGGAGCAACAGTGAAGGTGGTGCATGGTGCAGCAGCATCTGAGCCTGTGGAGGGCATGCAGAGAGCCAGTGGAGGAACATGAGACCTGGGAAACGTTGGAAGAAGTTTACTTGCAGCCTGGAGACCCCAGTGGTGACACCTGAGACTACAGCAACATTCTAAGCAGCAAGACATTAACAATCTCAGAGGCACAAGGCAGCACAAGGAAGGCACTGATGATGCCTCTAGCAGGGGCAGTGGAGGGAGGAAAGTGTTCCTTCTCAAGTACAACCAGAAGGACCCAAGAACCAAAATAAACAAAGCTGTACCCAAATAAGAAAAGGTGGCTACTACTACACATGTGCTGGCAGAAGATCAATTCGTGAAACACCATGAAGAACTGCAATAACACTGCAGAACAGAAAGAGAATGACAACTCTCCAAAAACCAAACTTGAAGTCACAGAAGATTACAATCTAAGTGACAGAGAATTCAAAATGGCTGTCATAAAGAAACTCAAAAGTGTTACAAGAAAACTCAGAAAGCTAGTTCAATTGGCTCAGAAATAAAATTAATGTACAGGAGGGGTACTTTGCCAAGGAGATTAAAACTCCAAAAAACAAAAAAAAAACCTCAAGAATTCTGGAGATGAAGAACATAGTCAATTAGATGAAAAATAATGTAGAAAGCATTAAAAATAGAGGAGACCATATGGAGGAGAGAATTAGTGAGCTTGAATTTAAGATAGAAACCTAGAAATGATTCAGGTGGTGGAGGAGAGAGAACTAAAATTTAAAAATTTAAAGGAATTCCTGGATAAATATACAACTCAATTAGGAAGAGTAACGTAGGACTTATAGGCATCCCAGGAGAAGACAGGGAGAAAGGAGCAGAGAGCTTATTCAAAGAAAAAAATAGCTGAGAGCTTCCCAAACCTGAAGAAAGAATTGAACATGCAAGTACATGAAGCTAATAGAATTCCTAATTACCTCAATGCAAAAAGACCTTTTCCAAGGCATATAGTAGTAAAACTGTCAAAAGTAAATGACAAAGAAAAAATATTAAGGGCAGCAAGAGAGAAGAAAATAACCTACAAAGGAAGCCCCACTAGGATTTCAGTGGATCTCAGCAGAAACTCTCCAGGCTAAGAGAGACTGGAATGATATATTCAAAATATTGAAAGACAGACACTATGAGCCAAAAATACTATATTCAGCAAAGTTATCCTTTACATATGACAGAGAAATAAAAGCTTTCCCAGACAAACAACAGCTGAAAAAGTTCTTCACAACTAGACTTGCCTTATAAGAAATGTTGAAACTAGCCCTCCTACCTGAGACAAAAATGCAAAGGTTTACAAAACTTTGAGCAAGGAGACAGATAGAATTAGAAAATTGCAACTCTACATCAGAATAGGTTAGTAAACACTTAATTATAACATAAAGGATAAAGGGAAAGAAAGCATCAAAAATAACTCTAACTACTTCAACTTGGTCACAAATTCAAAACACAAAACAGAATAATTTGTGACAACAATAATATAGAAAGGGAAGAGGAACAGGATAGAAGGTGCATAGGTTAATGGAGATAAGAAGCCATCAGAGAAAGGACTGTCACATGGATGAGATCTTTCATCCAAACCTCATGGTAACCACAAAACAAAAAAATCAGAACAGAGTCACAAATCATAAATAAAGAGAAAACTGAGAAAAACATCACAGGAAACCACCAAATGGAAATGGTAGACAGAAATAGAATAAAAAAAGGAAATATAGAGCATCCAGAAAACAAAAAATAAAATGACAGTATTAAGCTCTAATATATCAATAATCACTCTAAATGTAAATGGATTGATCACCCATCAAAAGGCAGAGTGGCTGGATGGATTAAAAAAGAAGATACATCAATATGCTGCCTCCAGGAGATCTATCTCAGCTCTAACGACAAACATAGGCTCACAGTGAAAGGATGGAAGATGATATTCCAAGAAAATGGCAAGGAAAAGCAAGCAGGTGTAGCTATATTTATATCAGACAAAACAGACTTCAAGAGAAAAAAGACAAGAAGAGACAAAGATGGGCATAATATAAATGGGACACCCACCAAGAAGACATAACACTTATTAATATATATGTGCGTAGCACAGGAACACTAAAGTATATAAAGCAACTATCAACAGACCTAAATTGACAAATTTTGACGGCAACACAATAATAGTGGGGGACCTTAACACCCCACTTCTGTCAATGGATAGATCATACAGACAGAAAGTCAACAAACAGTGGCCTTAAATGAAACAATGGACCAGATTGGCTTTACAGATATACATAGGACATTCTATCCTAAACAGCAGAATACACATTCTTCTCAAGTGCACATGGAACATTCTCAAAGATAGACCATATGTTGGGAAACAAAGCAAGCCTCAATAAATTTAAAAAGATTGAAATCATATCAAGTATCTTATCCAAACACAATGGTATGAAACTAGAAATCAGTTACAAGAAAAAACTTGGAAAGTCACAAATATGTGGAGAGGAAACTATAAAAAATATGCTACTGACCCAATATGCTCATTATATCAATGAAGAAATCAAAGGAGAAATAAAAAAATACCTGGAGACAAGTGAAAATGAAAACACAACATACCAAAACTTATGGAATGCAGCAAAAGTGGTACTAGGTGGGAAGTTTATAGCAATCCAGGCCTATCTCAAGGACAATAAAAATCTCAAACAATCTTACACTATATCTAAAAGAATAAGAAACAGAACCAAGCCCCAAATCAGTAGAAGGAAGGAAATAATAAAAATTAGAGGAGAAATAAATGAAATAGAGACTAAAAAACAATAGAAAGGATCAATGGAACTCAGAGCTGGTTCTTTGAGATTATAAACAAAATCAACAAACCCTTAGCCAGACTCACTAAGAAAAAAGAGAAGCCTCAAATAACTAAAAGCAGAAATGAAAGAGGAGAAATTACAATAGATACCACATAAATACAAAAGATTGTAAGAGAATACTATGAAGAGCTAAATGCCAACAAATTGGATAACCTAGAAGAAATGAATAACTGCTTAGAATCATACAACCTCCCAAAACTGAATGAACAAGAAACAGAGACTCTGAATAGATAAGTCACAAATAAATAGATTGAAACAGTAATCAAAAACCCCAGAAAATATGTAGAGGTGGGCAAAAGAGGTAAAGGGCCACATATGTATAGCAACAGATTAAAGCTAGACTATTGGTGGTGAACATGATGTATAATAACACACATCTGAAACTTACACAATGTTACAAGCCAATATGACCTCAGTAAAATAATAATAAGGGACCAGGACCAGATAGTTTCTCTGGTGAATTCTAGCAAACATTCAAAGAAGACTTAATACCTATCCTTCTCAAACTCATTTGAAAAATTGAAGAGGACAGGATGCTTCCTAATTCATTTTATGAAGCCAGCATTACCCTGATAACAAAATTAGACAAGGACAACCCAAAATGGAAAATTACAGGCCAATATCACTGATGAACATAGATGCAAAAATTAGCAACAAAATATTAGCAAATCAAATACAACAATACATTAAAAGGATCATACACCTGGATCAAGTGGGATTTATTCCAGGGATGCAGAGATGGTTCAACATTCACAAATCAATCAACGTGATATACTACATTAAGAAAATGAGGAATAAAAATCACATGATAGTCTCAATCAATACAGAGAAAGCATTTGACAAGATCCAACATCTAATTTTGATAAAAACTGTGAATAAAATGGGTATAGAAGGAAAGTACCTCCACATAATAAATGCCATATAGGACAAACCACAGCTAACATCATGCTCATTGGTGAAAAACTGAAAGCTAGTCCTCTGAGAATGGGAACAAGACCAGGATGCCCACTGTCACCATTCTTATTCAACATATTAGTTTCAGCCAGTGCAATTAGGTGAGAAAAAGAAATAAAAGGAATCCAAACTGGAAAGGAAGAAGTTAAAACTGTAACCATTTGCAGATGACGTGATTCTGTATATAGGAAACCCTAAAGAATCCACCAAAGAACTATTAGAAATAATCAACGGGGGGCCAGCCTGGTGACACAGTGGTTAAGTAAACACATTCTGCTTCAGCAGCCTGGAGTTCACTGGTTCAGATCCCAGGTGCAGACCTACGCACTGCTCATCAAGCCATGCTGTGG